TAAAAACATATAGAAAAAATTAGGTAGGCATGATGGTGCATGCCTGTAGTCCCAGCTACTCGGGAAGCTGAGGCAGAAGGATTTCTTGAGCCCAGGAGTTTGAGGTTGCTGAGAGCTAGGCTGATGCCATGGCACTCCAGCCTGGGCAAGAGAGTGAGACCCTGTCTCAAAAAAAAAAAAAAAAAAAAAAACGCAGACTGACCAACTCTGATTCTGATCTTTATGCAGGAAAATCAAGTACAACTTTATGTCCAATTTTTACACTGAAGTTTAAGCAGAATTTAAATTTTTATGTTCAGTTTCTCCATGTCTAATGTATGATTCCATAACAAGGGATTTTATGAACAGATACTTTTTTTTTTATTTACTATAGAAGTAGATCCTGCAGAGATACTTTTTTTTAATTTAGTTATATACCGATAAAGTTAACAGAAATGGAAGAAACCAAGTTTTGTGCCAACCTCAGTGAGCAGAGCACTGACAATTATTCTATAGTTTAGCACCACACCTGCAGAGAAACTGCATTCCTGTCTTGAAAAACATGGAAATTCATCACTGCCAACTGGCCGACACCCGCATCCCTTCCTGGGAGTACCTGGCGAGGTTAAACAAAGGCCACTTATGTGGGATGGAAGTGTGTGTAACAGATGTAACTGCACAGCCCAGCACCACCTGTGGGAATAAGTGGCCGTTTCCTGCCCGAAGTCATGTTCCGGCAGCATGACTGGTCTCACAACAAGACCTGTCACCTCTCCTGATGACCCTGTAGGCAATTCTCAGAGCCTGGCGACATTTTCCACAGGGTTTTATGTTCCCAACGATACTCTGGGCATGTGGACAGCAACGCGTAAAGATGCGACAGTTATGTCAGACAGGACTCCTCTTTGAGCACGCATCACTTATGGAAAAGCACGCAAAAGTTCCAAAATAACTAAGCAAACAGCAAATAATACTTATTCCGTTTCCCCAATCTCAGCAGTTCTTTTGTTTTCTTGGAATCTTTTTCCTTCACTGTGACACCAATCAACACAATGGCCCGGACAGACCTCACTGGGATTGTACTGAGTGAAAACTCTCAAAAGTCACGCAGTATATACCATTCCACTGAAACAGCATCCCTGAGATCACAAAACTGTAGAGACAGAAAGCAGGTAGGTGGCTTCAGAAGGGAGCAGTAGTGTGGCCGTAAGGGGTAGCACCAAGGGGCCTTGTGATGACAGGACGTTCTACATCTTGACCAAGGTGGAGGCTACGGGTGCTAAAACCACATAGAACCCTCACTCTCTCTCTCTCTCTCACACACACACACATACATGTGGGCACATGCAAAACTAAGACATCTGAATACACCCGGGGAGTTGTACCAACGTCAGCTTCCTGATGTTGAAAGCGCCCTGCAGTTACGCCAGAGGTCCGCATTCGGAAAGGTGGGGAGGAAAATGCCAGGGACACCCCCCCCTCCGCCCCCGTCCATTTCTTTGCAACTTCCTGTAAATCTGTAATTATTTCAAAATAATTATTTAAAAAACTGAGACTATATAAAAATAAAAAGGCTATAATTGTTTTTAACGACAATTAAAAAGAGAGAAACAGTTTATTAACTCCCATACACTAAACTCGTATTAGCCAAACTCAGAGGCACCTGGGTTGAAGTTAATCAGAGAGGTTCAAGTTAATTTCATGAGACACCAATTAGTTCACTACCCAAGCCACAAAAGACACAGCTCTGAGTGGCAGGGCATGACACGGGGCACCTTTCCAAATCTTGGAGCCTATTGGTTCTTGCCTAGGAGAAGCACCGTTGCCAGCCAGGCAGGAGTGTACGGACTAGCCTGGCTACAGACAGACGCAGAGCACGCTCAGCCGACTTCCACGTGCCTCTCACCCACTGCCCTCAGATTCTCAGCACAGGGTCTTAGACGGGAAACTTAAGAAACTAGTCAGAAAAGTAAAACAGAGCTGCAAATTTAGAGTTGAAACAGACTTCAACAACACTTCAGCTCAAAATCTAACCCCTTCATCTCTTAGTTGGTTTCCAGCCACGGAGCTGGTGAGAGACGTAGCGGGGTCAAGTGCCATGGCTGCCTGCTCAGTGTCCTCTCCACAAAGCCTGGCTGCTCCTGCCACTCGTCCTCACAATGGCAACACCGCAAGCACCCAAACCAGAGCCAGCCAGAGCAGGAGGAGCAGTGACTCCTCTCCCTGCAACACGGGAGTCCGGCTCAGACCAGCTCTGCCCCGGCCAGCTCTCCAATCCCATCTCCGGGCACCAGCCCACACTCTGTTCACACCATTAATTCCCTGCTGCTCCTCCAACTCCTTGGTCTTCTGCCTGATGTGCCCTTTGGACAAAACCACCCAAGAATCCCGTCCTGGGGGAGGTCTTCTCCAGCTCGCCCATCTATCCGCTCGCTGGGTACACGTCCCGGGCCAGATGCTGTGAGAGGAACGTGACGTGATGAGCAAGACACGCTCCCACCTCGTGGAGCCTACAGTGCCGTGGGGGACACAGAGCCACAAACTGAAGACACTGCTGAGAAGAACAGCACTGTGGCTCATGAGGTAACGCGACAGCAAGGCTGGAAAGGTGTTTCTGAGGAAGGGCCACATTAACAGAAACCTGACTCCCCCAAGAAAGACCAGGTGCTCTCTCCTTGTAATAGCTCCTCTATGGGAGCGACTGCACTATTCATTGGTCTACACCAGTGGTTTTAAACCAGGGACAACTTTGCCCCTCAGAGGACATCTGTCAATGTCTGGAGACATTTTTGGTTGTCACAACTGAAGCATCTAGTGCTGCTGAACCCTACAAGGCACAGGACAGTCCCCACAACAAAAGGATAATCCAGCCCCAAATGTCAGCTGTGCCAAGGTGGAAAAAGTCTGGTCTACACAGAGAGTCAACAAGTAATTACAGAGTATAGTGGTTCCCCCTTTTCCACAGAGGATATGTTCCAAGACCCCCAGTGGGTGCCTGAAACCTCGGATAGTACCAAACCCTATACATACTGTCATTCCCTACACATGCATACCTATGATAAAGTTTAGTTTATAAACTAGGCTTTATTTAAAAAAAAAACTCTCAGTAAGAGATTAACAATAACTAATAACAGAACAACTGTAACAACACATTGTGAGGTCGGGCGCAGCGGCTCACACTGTAATCCTAGCACTCTCAGAGGCTGAGGCGGGAGGATCACCTGAGCTCATGCATTTGAGAGCAGCCGGAGCAAGAGCGAGACTCTGTCTATACTAGAAACAGAAAAAACGAGCCGGACAAGGTGGCGCATGCCTGTAGTCTCAGCTACTCGGGAGGCTGAGGCAGGAGGATCGCTTGAGCCCAGGAGTTTGAGGTTGCTGTGATCTAGGCTGACGCCATGGTACTCTTGCCTGGCGTAACAGAGTGAGACCCTGTCTCAAAAATAAAAAATTAAAAACTATAAATAAGTTTTGTGAATGTGGTCTCTCTCTCAGAATATTTTGTTGTACTATACTCACCTATTTTCAGCCCACAGTTGACCGTGGGTTACTGAAACCTAGAATAAGGGAGGTCTACTGTACTATGTGGCAGGCACTGTCTTGTCACATGCAGGACCTGGCACAGAACATACATCCAATAAGTGGGTGACTGAGAAAACAATTTTCAATCTCAATGTCCTGCCCCATACAATTTTATGCAAAAATGGAAGAACAGATGCCATATCTAATTTAAGGCTGCTAAGTAAGCCTTTGCCCAAGAGGTCCGTTAACAAGTAACATGCACACTTAGTTTTACAAAATGCATTGTGATTATGAATATTGTTGTCTTGCAAATTTCATTATGTAGCAAAGGAAGAGGAAAGGCGCTGATCTGGGTGTGTGTTTCTAGCCTTTTTTTTTTTTTTTTTTGCAGAGTAAGGAAGGGACAGGAAGTCTTCTACCCTTCCACAGAGTCTGTGGCCGAACCAGACTGTCCTCCTGATCCTCCGCCTGGCTAAGGAGGTGAGAGTTTACAGGGAAGGTTCGGTACCATGGCACTGATCGGTATATGAGGTCACAAAAATTCCTCAAAACATACATTAAACCTAAGGTAACAAAATTCACCAAGTCAACCATTGGCTGGATAACAAGGAAAAAATAAACATGCCAGACAGGAAACTGACTTTTTTTCCCCCCTTAAATTAGATAAGGGGATCATCTCTGCACACCAAAGCCAAAATAATCTGTGGCCTGTGCACCCACCCTGCATGTCCCTCTAACAGGCCAAGCGTCCGGCCCGTGGCCCGTTTCACTTCTGGCGTGGACTCCTGCCCCGGGGACACGCGTGTGGACGAACAGGTTGCGCCCAGAGCCGCGGGCCACGCAGTCCCGGGGCCACCCACACCGGCCTGCTCCCGTCCGGCCCCCTGGGGGAATGAGTCATTGTAATCGCAGCGGGTGAGATCTAATCAGGGCGCAATAAGCCACCTGCCCAGGTCAGAGACGATCCCCGGGGAAGACGCGGACTGCCGCTCCCGCAACGCAAAGCCACGCTGCTTTGGAAAACGCGGGGTTAAACGCTCCGCTACTAGAAAGACCGAGATGACATCATGCTGGGGAGGGGCGTCTTGGCTGGAACCCCCTCGGCGGGGCCACAGCACCCCGCACCCGCTCGGGCCAGCGACCAGGGTGGGGCGCGGGGGGAGGACGGCGCCCGCCCGCTCCCCGGGCCCCGCGCCCCGCCAGCGCCCGCCTAGACCGCCCCGCGCGCCCGCCAGCGCCCCAGGCCCCGCACCCCGCCCTAGACCCCGCGCTCCGCACCCCGCCTACCCGAGACCCGCGCCCGCCTAGCGCCCCAGACCCCGCACCCTGCACCCTGCCCTAGACCCCTCACCCCGCCCTGGACCCTGCACGCCCGCGCCCCAAACCCCGCACCCGCCAGACCGCGCCCCGCGCCGCCCGCAGGCGCCCAGACCCGCACCTGCGGCCCCGCCCGCCAGGCCGGCCCCCGCCCGCAGGCCCGAGCGGCGCGGGCCACTCACAGTTGCGGATGTCCGAGATGAAGACCGCCAGGCCCCGCATCCCGTCCCCCTTGGACACGGCCGGCATCTCCGGGCGCCGGGAGCGGCCCGGCTGGCGGGCCCGGGCGGAGGAGCGCTGGGAGCCGGAGCCGGAGCCGCCGGAGCCTCCGAGGAGCCGCCGAGGAGCCGCGGCGCCGCCGCCTCAGCCGCCTCAGCCTCCTCAGCCTCCGAGCGCCGCTTTCTGCGCCGCCGCGCGCGCGCGCACGCACGACGCCCGCACCTGCGGGCGCGCGCACGCTCGCGCGCGGCGACGGACGGCGGCCGGGCGGCGCGGCGCGGGGTGCGAGCACGTCGAGGGCAGGGCCGGGGCGCCCCCTGGAGGTGGCGCGGGCGCGAGGGTCGGGCCGCGCCTGGGGCGCGCTGAGGCCGCAGGTTCGCGTCCCCCGGCCGCGCCCGGCCGGCAGAGCAGCCGGTGTCCCGCGTGGGAGGGGCGAGGGCCCAGGCGGGGACACGCGTACCGAGTGTGGCCGCCTCTCTTGCTACGACTGGCCCCGGCGGCCTCTGCAACGGACGGAGGACACTGCGGCCTCCCAGGCTTAGGGCTAGTGTGGACTTGGCTTCATGTTCTCCTGGTCTCTGATTTTCCACTGGGAAGCAACGGACTCCTACGCGGCCGGCGTCGCCTGGGGTCCACCCCAGGCCACTAAGCCACACGGAGGACGCGCCGGGAGCTGGCCGGGACGACCTTTTGGCCGTTCCTGGCTCTGATGAGGAAATCCTCCCCCAGCCCAGGACCTGGTACTGCCAGACCGCCCACCACCTCCCCGGGCCTTACTCGGGCCAGCCCAAGGCTCTTGAAGCCTCTGAGCTGGGGCGAGGGGGCCACATGGCCCTGCCCAAGCCCATGGTCTGTGGAGGGAGCCCAGGCACCTGTCCACCTCCCTGGGGTGGGCAGAGCTAGCCCCTTCCTCTGCAAATGGGAGACCGAGGCCCGAAGAGAAAGGTCCGTCCTGCCCCTCCTGGTGACAGCAGCATGTGGCTGCAATGCCCCAGTGCCCAGCTCGGACGTTTTGCCATTGTTGCCATTGTTGCCACTGCCCCCCTCTGCTCCCCAGAGGGGTGCAGGCATAGGACCAGCCCTGTGGACCCACCAGGAGAGAGGACCTGGCTGGGCCTTGGCCAGGAACAGAGCCCGGGGAGTCCAGAGAGCAGATGGCCCTGCTGGGCTCTCCTTTGGGAAGCCAGATGGCTCTGAAGAGGAACCTCCTGCTCGTCCAGGCCCTGTACCCACCCAGGCTCACTTCCGCCGCCCCCGTTGAGAGGTTAGGCCTGGGTGGAGCCGGCCAGGAAGAGGAAGAGGCAGGATGCCCCCCACACTCCATGAACCAGGCTCCCCACTGAGGCTCTGGACCCCCCAAACAAACCCCTGGAGAAAACCCAGACCTGTGACAGGCCAGATCCTTGTAGGCAGCAAGTCCGTCACCTTCAGAGACCGAGGCCAGGAGCCAGGCCAGCAGAGGGCTTCCCGGAGGAGGGGAGACTCCCAGGGCCCCCATGCCCACACCAGCAAGGTGACCCTCCCACTGCCACTCCTGGCAGAGGAAGTGGGCCAGGGGACATCTCTCCTTCAGCTTGTCCCTCCATCTGCGGCCTGCCCTCCCCTGACCCTGAGACACGAAGCGTCAATTTTGGACACAAGCATACTTCTGTGCTGTAAGAGGCCCCCTGGGCTGGGCTGGTGGACAGTCCAGAAATCTACAAGGACCATCCCAGGAGCACGGGCCCACCTGATCCACTTGGACAAGCAGGCCCTGCCAGCCTGGCAGCAGCCGCTACTCATAGAACAGGGCAGTGCAGGCAGGTGGGAGGCTCTGGGGGCTTCTCGCAGGAGGGGCTTGGAGCTGGGCAGGTCCTGCCTCCTCCCCCTCCACAGCTGTCCTCCTGTCCACACGAGTGCGTCCAGCGGTCCCGGAGGTCCTGCCAGGCAGCCATACCAAGGACTCCCCCACCGCGTTTCTGCGCCTTCTCTTTGCCAGGTGCCAAGACCGTGCAAGACACTCGTTCCCGTCCCAGACTCAGGTCTGAGTCCACCTGGGCCTCCCCGTCCCAGACTCAGGTCTGAGTCCACCTGGGCCTCGCCGACCACGGCCACTCCTTTGCGAGGGAGAGGCCACCTTCGGGAGAGTGTAGTGCTTGGGAAGATTTTATTTCTTAAGTTGTTTGGCCAGTTGTCACATTTTAGCCACTCATGGTCATGGTTCTGTTCCCAAGGGCAGGGTGGAGCTGGCAGCCTCTTTCCTCAATCCGTGGCCACTGGGCAGGGGAGGGCTCCACAGACACAAGCCTGACACTTGCATCTTTTTTTTCTTTTTTTTTTTTTTTTTTTTTGAGACAGAGTCTCACTCTGTTGCCCAGGCTAGAGTGAGTGCCATGGCGTCAGCCTAGCTCACAGCAACCTCAAACTCCTGGGCTCAAGCGATCCTCCTGCCTCAGCCTCCCTAGTAGCTGGGACTACAGGTGTGCACCACCATGCCTGGCTAATTCTTTCTATATATTTTTAGTTGGCCAATTAATTAATTTATTTATTTTAATGTTTTATTTACATTTATTTTACTTTTTATATTTTTCCTTGTTTTGCTTAAGGCTACCGATGCAGATGGAGAATTAATTTATTTCTATTAATAGTAGAGACAGGGTCTCGCTCTTGCTCAGGCTGGTTTCGAACTCCTGACCTTGAGCAATCCTCCCGCCTCTGCCTCCCAGAATGCTAGGATTACAGGCATGAGCCACCGCGCCCGGCCCAACACTTGCATCTTGAAGGAAAAAGCAAAGTCCGGAGCCCAGAGCCTGCGGTGTGGCCGTGGTGTCCTGGTGCAGCAGGAACGTCCCGCAGTGACACGGCTCCTGCCCAGACCTGAGCCTGAGCCCTGTCAGGGTTACAAGTGACCAGTTTCCTTCCCATACTCTCTGCAGTGAGTTTCAGGCAATGACCCTTCCAGAAAGCTGGGGTTGGTGGCCTGGTCCCAGTGTGGTTGGACCTGTGTGTGTTCAGGGACAGGGATGCAGTGGCCCTCAGACCTGGCGGCTACCCCTGTGTTCATCTGATTCCCCTGTGGTCACCAGGTGTGACATCCTCAGGGAAGGCCAGGCTCTGGGGACTGAGTGTCCCCTGCCATGGATGGGGCGCAGGGTGTGAGGAATGCAAGAATCCTGTGGCAGGCCGGGCGCAGTGGCTCACGCCTGTCATCCCAGCACTCTGGGAGGCCAAGGCAGGAAGATGGCTCAAGGTCAGGAGTTCGAGACCAGCCTGAGCAAGAATGAGACCACCTCTACTAAAAATAGAAAGAAATTGGCCAACTAAAAATATATAGAAAAAAATTAGCCGGGCATGGTGGTGCATTCCCGTAGTCCCAGCACTCTGGGAGGCCGAGGCGGGCAGATTGCTCGAGGTCAGGAGTTCGAAATCAGCCTGAGCAAGAGTGAGACCCCGTCTCTACTAAAAATAGAAAGAAATTGGCCAACTAAAAATATATAGAAAAAAATTAGCCGGGCATGGTGGTGCATTCCCGTAGTCCCAGCACTCTGGGAGGCCGAGGCGGGTGGATTGCTCCAGGTCAGGAACCAGCCTGAGCAAGAAGAATGAGACCCCGTCTCTACTATAAATAGAAAGAAATTAAATGGCCAACTAATATATAGAGAAAAAATTAGCCGGGCATGGTGGTGCATCCTGTAGTCCCAGCTACTTGGGAGGCTGAGGGCAGGAGGATCGCTTGAGCCCAGGAGATTGAGGTTGCTGTGAGCTAGGCTGACGCCGCGGCACTCACTCTAGCCTGGGCAACAAAGGGAGACTGTCTCAAAACACACACACACACACACACACACACACACACACAGAGTTAAGAAGCCAGGAAGTCTTGGATATCATGCAGAGAAGGAAATTCAGAGGACTCAGCACTGAACCTGCCCGCCCACTTCAGGGAAGCTGCTTCCCACCAAGGCCGCAGAAATGTGTAGGTTACAGAGGGCCGGACCGCCCTACAGGCAGGGGCACGGTGGCAGAAGTGGGGTCCCTGCTTTCAGAGGAGAAGGGTGGCCTGAGGTGACACAGGCCACGGAGGCAAGACACCCTACTAGGTCACAGGGCCAATGATGTCCCCAAGGTGGCCTGTCTGGCAGCAGCCCCTGGTGGGGGCTACCTGCTCAGGGGACCCTTGGGCCAACAGAAGGGCAGCCTGCAGGGCTCCTGCTCAAGGTATGCCGTCAACAAGATCCACAAAGACCGGATTTGCACTGGCAGCTCCCTCACCTGACTTCAGAGGCAGCTCAGTGACTGAGAAAGACCACGCCCTGTGCATCTTCTTCCTCAGTGACTTATCAGCAAAACTAGGGAAGCGACAGCCACACGGTTAGCGGGTATTGGGTACTAGGTGGGAACATCACTGATTCCAGGGAACACAGGTTGCCAGGGCAGTTCCCCACTCAGAGGGGAAGGTTTAGGGTCAGGTGATAAATGCCATTTAGCCCTGAGTCTGTCTGAGCATACATCCACCCTGCAAATTTAGCTGAAATCGACATCCTCAGCAGCAGCAGCACCAACTCCCCGTCTGCTTCCTGGCATGGGGTAGGGAGGACCCTGGGGTAGGAAGGGCACAGGAGGCTCCTAGGAGCTTCCTTCTCAACCCAAAGAGCAGCCCAGCAGGGTACAGCCTGGGTATGGGTGGAGTCTTTTTCTTTTCTTTCTTTTTTTTTTTTTTTTTTTTTTGGAGACAGGGTCTCACTCCGTCACCTAGGCTGGAGTGCAGTGGTGCAGTCATAGCTCACTCCAGCCTCAAACTCCTGGGCTCAAGCGATCCTCCTGCCTCGGCCTCCCAAACTGCTAGGACTACGGGCCTGAGCCACTGCACTCGACCTTGGGATTTTTAAAGGCATCCAAGGCAGTTTCAAGGCGTGACCCAGTTTGCCAGTCCCTGACTAGTCCCAAACCAAACTGGCACCACTGTCGGACGCCATGTGGTGCGGACTGGCAGCATGTGCACACTTAGCTCCCTTGCCCGGCCAGCTTGTTGGAGGAGCAGGGCCAGGGCGTGTTGTGGGCACTGTGGGCTCCCCGGTGATGCCAATGGAAGCTGCCGTTCCAGCCTTTGCTCCTACTGCAGCGAATCGCATCACCCAGGCCCATGTAGGGTAGCTGCGGACTGGATGAGAGCTCATTCTCTTTCTCACACATATGAGAGCAGAAGCCAAGTTGCTTAACGAGGGAACCTCGACATACAGTGACGTAGATGAGAAAAACGTTCTTTCTCCCT